TTCTCCTCAGTTGTTCCTTAAAGAGGCCACTCCTTGATCACAGCAACATGCAGACAGGACCGGGAATCGAGAGCCCTGGGTTCACTCAAGCCTCCACCTCCAGCTCTGCCCCAAACTATCTGAGTGTCTACAGGGAAATCTGTTTTGCATCTCTGGGTTTCACCTTCCTCCTCTTAAAGGAAGGACTACATCCTCCACCATCCACCGCCCCCGGGCTCCTCCAGCTCAGACCTTCCCCTGAACTGTGTTGTCACAACACCCATTCATTAGGTGGCTTTACATGTTCTGGGTAATTTGGGCACGTCCTGATCTCTGTGACTGAGGTGGAGCCACACCCTGATCCCCGCAGGAACCTCCTTCTCCGCCCGCTTACATCTCTGGAGTAGAGAGGTGTCCTGGGTGATGCTCATGGTTGACAACTAACTGCATCGTCCAGGCACCTCCTAGAATGCAGAGGCTGGCTGACCTCCACTGCAGCCACATTTGCGAACATGAAACCCACGCGTAGTGATAAATTCTCTGCTCCCTCCTCACTCCTTCTGTCATGTTTTATTTATCAAGCCTTTAACAGAAGAACTGGAGTGAAAACATTTTCCATCTTCGCTGTTTTCCTGACGTGGCCTTGTGTGACAGCGTGTCACCCAAGCTCTGAGAAATGTTTTCCAGAGAAATACTTCTGGGAAGTCGTTTAGTTGGGTGGCGTGAGTAACGCCACCTGAAAGTCATGTTAACTTCCTGAAAGCAATTCTCCATGGTTCTTGCTTGTCCAGATTGAATTTTAATGAACATTTATTGGAGGTTTTCCTACTGATTATAATAATGATGCACATTCATGATAAAGTATCTGGAAAATAAAGACTAGCAAAATGGAAATGCAGCTTCCAGCCACAATCCCACTCAAAGATAACCACCGCAAACCTTCTGATGGGTCTCCTTCCAGGAATGTGTACATATATATATGAAGGAAGTGGGGAAAGAGAAAAAACGAATTGACTACAGTAACAATAGTTTCATATGTAGACATATATGTTTTGCTTTTATAATTTGAAACTTAAAATTTAATTTCGCATTTCAAAAATAGTTCATTTCATATGAAACTCATTTTATTAAAAATATATTACCGTAACATTCTAGAGTTATTCATATACAAGATAAATTTTACATAATACAGTCTTAATCTAAACACAGACCGTTTTCTTTTTCAAATTGGGGTTCACACTCTGTATACTTGTTTGCATTTGCTTTTTTTAAAAAGTTTTTGTTTAACCATGTATAAAAATTAAGGCATACTATATTAATGTACAGGTATTTGACAAACATATAGTAATGTAACTACCACCACAATCATGATATACATAATTATCTAAAATATGACTGTGGGCCAGGTGCGGTGGCTCACGCCTGTAATCCTAGCACTTTAGGAGGCTGAGGTGGGTGGATCACCTGAGGTCAGGAGTTCGAAACCAGCCTGTCCAACGTGGTGAAACCCTGTCTGTACTAAAAATACAAAAATTAGCCAGGTGTGCCTGTAATCCCAGCTACTCGGGAGGCTGAGGCAGGAGAATCGCTGGAACCCTATGAGACGGAGACTGCAGTGAGCCAAGATCACGCCACTGCACTCCAGCCTAGGCGACAGGGCAAGATTCAGTCTCAAAAAAAAAAAATGGCTGTGAATGTCATCAACTTTTCTGTCATTTGAAAGTGCAATAATTTAACCAATTTTGTTTTCTTGGCCATTTAGGTTGTTTACGATTTCTCCCTTACCGATTTCCAATCTGGGGGAATGAAATCAATGAATTAAAATGCATGAGGGCCATGAGTGGTGGCTCATGCCTGTAATTCCAGCACTTTGGGAGGGCAAGGTGGGTAGATTGCTTGAGCTCCGGAGTTTGAGACCATCCTGGGCAACATGGTGAAACCTCTTTTCTACGAAAAATACAAAAAAGTTAGCCAGGCATGGTGGTCTGTGCCGGTAGTCCCAGCTACTTGTCGGGGAGCTGAGGTGAGAGGATTGATTGGGCCTGGGAAGTAGAGGCTGCAGTAAACTGTGTTCGAACCACTATACCCCAGCCTAGGTAACTAAATGAGACCCTGTCTCAAAAAAAAAAAAAAGAGAAAAAGAAGGAAGGAAGGGCAAGGGGAAGGGAGGGGAGGGGAGGGAGACAGAGGAAGAGAGGAAGGAAGGAAGGAAGGAAGAAAGGAAGGAAGGAAGGGAAGGAAGGAAGGAAGGAAGGAAGGAAGGAAGGAAGGAAGGCAGGCAGGCAGGCATAAAAATGAATGAAATTCGGAATTTTCATTTTCCTGGAGCTATACCAACTGGGTGTCTCCCTTCTCCACTGGAAAAATCCCACATCATTCAAGACCCAGCTCAGATATTGCCTCCTCTATGAAACCCCCATGATGCCAGCTGGAGAGAGGGTTCCTCCCTTCCCTGTGATTCCACAGCACCAAGTCATACACTGTTTATGGGACAGACATTGCAATAGTCTGATTTTCTTCTCTCCTCCAGACTGTGAACTCATACTAGAAGTGATGTCTTAGCTCTGTGTTCCCAAAACCTAAGCCATGCTTGGCTCATACATGCTCCACAAATGTCCATGAAATGAATGAACATTCTACCCTGCTGAACTAAATTTTGATCTTGAGCCGATTTCTTAGAAAACAGACACTTTATGAGCATGGTGCAAACATAAGCTGGCTGCATGAAGCAGGTATCCCTAAGGAGGGCTGGAAATGTGCTGGTTTTGGACAGTGGTTCAGGGGAACTTGGGAGTGGTGCAGAATTGCTGGCATGTGGAGAGGTACAGGGTACTGGCAGAACACCTCATCTAAGTGATCATCTTTACAATTTTATTTTTTATTTTTGAGACAGAGTCTCGCTTTGGCACCCAGGCTGGAGTGCAGTGGCACAATCACAGCTCAGTGCAGCCTCGACCTCTCAGACTCAAGCAATCCTCCCACCTCAGCCCCCCAAGTAGCTGGGACTACAGGCGTGGCCCACCTCGCTGGACTAATTTTTAATTTTTTGTATAGACGCAGGTCTCGATATATTGCCCAGGCTCAAGCAATCCTCCCACATTGGACTCCCAGTGTGCTGGGATTACAGACGTGAGCCACTGCACCTGGCCAATATGTTTTTTTTTTTTTTGAGATGGAGTCTCCCTCTGTCTCCCAGGCTGGAGTGCAGTGGCATGATCTCGGCTCATTGCAACCTCCACCTCCCAGGTTCAAGCTATTCTTCCACCTCAGCCTCCCGAGTAGCTGGGATTACAGATGCCCGCCACCACACCTGACTAATTTTTGTATTTTTAGTAGGGATGGGGTTTCACCATGTTGGCCAGGCTGGTTTTGAACTCCTGACCTCAAGTGATCTCCCCGCCTGGGTCTCCCAAAGTGCTGGGATTACAGGCGTGAGCCACCACACCCGTCCTCACCTGGCCATTTTTACACTTTTAAAATAGCAAGAAACTAGGGACAAAAAGTACAAATTCATATTTATGTGTAGTCAGTCAATAAATATTTATTGAATGAACTAATAAATTAATGGAAGGTGTACCAGATCCTGGCAGGCGAGAAAGTCAGTCGGAGGCAGTGCTTGTTCTTAGTGCACTCACAATGGAGAATCAAGGAATTCACCTTGGACGGGCCCATTTCTCCCTCTCCTAGGCCCTGTGCAGTCTCTTCTCAGACTTACTAGTTCTGAGGGGCTCCTGGCTGCCTCACACCAACAACGGTGGCCTGTGGACACTGGCGATGGTGTCCTGTCATTTTGGTTTGTGAAGAGTTTGTGCGCCAAATCAAACCCTGGGAGGAGTGGGGAGGGCATCCGCTTTAATTAATTAGAGGTGTCTCTATTCATCTCCGTAAATGCAACATCTAGCACAAGACTTGGCCCACAGTAGGTGTTTAAAAATGCTTGCTGAGGCCGGGCGCAGTGGCTCACGCCTGTAATCCCAGCACTTTGGGAGGCCGAGGCGGGCAGACCACGTGAGGTCGGGAGTTCGAGACCAGCCTGACCAATATGGAGAAACCCCGTCTCTACTAAAAATACAAAATTAGCTGGACTAGGTGGCGTGCGCCTGTAATCCCAGCTACTCGGGAGGCTGAGGCAGGAGACTCACTTGAACCCGGAGGCAGAGGTTGCAGTGAGCCGAGATGGCGCCATTGCACTCCAGCCTGGGCGACGAGAGTGAAACAACGTCTGGAAAAACAAAAAACAAAACAAAACAAAACTTGCGGAAAGAATGAAATGACCAAGACTTCTGCAGGGCCGCCCGTCAGGTTCTCAACTAGTCACTCTTCACATCTGATTCATATCTTAAAGCAGCCTCGCAGGTAGGTCTGCATCATTTTCCCATCCTACATCGCAGGCGCTGAAGCCCAGGCGGGCTTCCCGAATCGCCCGGGCCCACACTGCAGAGTGAAAGCCACAGCGGCAAAGCCTGCACGCTGGACGCTGCGCCGGAGCGTCCCCAGGTGCAGCAGGCTGCGCTCCGTAAGTGGGTCCTGGCGGGAACCGCGTCCTGCTGAACCCCGATCAGGCCCGGGGAGACCCTGGGAGCGACGCGGCGGGCGGGGTCTGGGCCCGCGGCAGTGGCTGAAGCCTCGGCTCGCTCTTCCTCACAAGGTGCGAATCCAGCGCCTCCAGCTCGGGAGGGACCTGACGTGCGGGACGCGTCCGCCTCAGAACCCGAGGCGCGGCACATACTCGGCAAAGGCCGCCGGCGTCCCCGCAGCAGTGGGAGGAGACTAGGGATGCCCGGAGGAAGACGCTGACCCGGCGAGCACCTGAGCGCCCACCTGTGGCTCATCCGGGAGACCCCCCCCCGGCCCGGGGGGGGGCTTGGGGGGCGTGGCTCCCGTCTCGCTCAGCCAATCAGTTCCCCGGAGCAGCCGCCCGCCCCCTCCTGAGGAGACAGCGCTTGCGCACTCGGGCCGCGGTCCTCCTCGGGCCCCGCCCCCGGGGCGGTGCTGACGCTCGCGCCGACGCGCTCGACGTTGGGCACGTCGACGCCGGCGCCGCGCAGCCGGGCCAGCTCCTCCTCCGCTCCGCCAGTGTCCGGCCGCGGGCCGGCCTTAGTGACTGGGGCGGCGGGCCCCGGGGCCGCGGCGTGGGGCGGGCAGGCGGACGCCGGCCGCGGGCTGCCTTCGTCGGCTCCCAAGCTCGCCCGGAGCGAGCAGCCGCCCGCGAGCCGCCGCGGAGCCTCCTCGCCCGCTCCCGCCGGTGAGCAAGGTAAGGGAGCGGGACACTGAGGCAGGCTCGGGGCCCAGGCGTCACCGGCTGGTCTCGGTCTCCGCGGCGGCCACGCAACCGGTTGGATGTGTTCGCGGGGAAGGGTGCGCTCCGGGGCGGGTGGGGGCGAGGCCGCGGCACCGGGTCGCGCTGGGAGAACTCTGGCGGGACCCCAGCGCCCCGAGGGATGGCTCCGGGGACTGCGCGCCGCCCCTCCCCGAGCCCTGCGCCCCGTGACCCGGGCGCTGGGGCGAGGGGCGGGGAACTGCGGCCGCTGAAAGCCCCGGCCCGAGCGGGCTCCGTTGTCAACGGTCCTCACCTCCGGGGTCCGGGGCTCCCGCCGCACCTGATACAGGAGGGGAAGGAGTGCGGTTCGAGCAGGCTGGAGGTCACCATCCCCATCAGGTGCGCTGCCTGGGCCATCCTCTCTCAGGGGTCCATCGCGCCCCGAATACTGCCCGAAAGACTCAGAAGCGACTTCCCCATCCCCTCGCGCTGTCTTTATATCCCAGACACTTAATAACCTCTCATCATCTCACCTTTCACTTTTCCCTCTTTCCTAGCCGCCTCCGGCTGTATATCGACCTGCTATATTTCCATTGTGAGTTTTTTTTTTTTTTCCGGTTGTAAACTTACGTAAGTTAGGTTGACTGATCAACCGTTGCAGCCATTGAAAAAAAACACTTCTACCAGCGTTTAACGAATCCAGTTCCTTTTAGTGCTCACCAGCTCCAGCTCAAGAATTCAGGGAGCCGTCAGTTCTTCACAGGAGCTGACTGCACACATTCCTGCAAGATGCCTGATGGATTTTGTACTTGTCAGTTTTGCTGGCTGTATGCTCCTTCTGTGCTTTTCCTGAAAAATGATTGGGTGACATGTGTTTTGACTTTCTTCCCCCCCCACCCCCCACTGGGAAGTAAAAAAAAAATTAGGTAACAGAAGCACACTTGTTTTCGACAAAAACAAGTACAGCTTTGCAAACAGACTACCCCAGGGTTTGCCCTTTTTTGTGAGGGTAGTCCTCTGGTATCTTGACCCCTTCCCTGGATTTTTGTCTGTGTTAATGTCTTCATGTTGTGTATTTCTGCACTTAATATTTGCCCGGTATATGTTTTCCCAGCTTATTTACACACAAAGCGTAACAGATCTGAGGATAATGAGGCTGCCCATCTTTTTAGCTACAGATACCTGTAAAGTTGCATATTTGTGGGAACCTGTATTCTGCACTTGATGACTTAGCCTGGCTCTTTCATTTCAAGATGATGTGCGAGGTGATGCCGACCATCAGCGAAGCAGAAGGCCCCCCTGGAGGAGGTGGGAGCCATGGTTCCAGCTCCCCTTCGCAGCCAGACGCGGATTCACATTTTGAACAGTTGATGGTCTCCATGTTGGAAGAAAGGGACCGCCTTCTTGACACACTGAGAGAGACTCAAGAAACACTGGCCTTAACCCAGGGGAAGTTACACGAGGTTGGTCATGAAAGAGATTCCTTGCAGAGACAGCTCAACACGGCACTTCCACAGGTATGAGTGCTTTTAACTTGAAACTCTGTAGATTATTCTCCACTAAATGTTTTTTTTTTAAATTGGTGTCATCTTTTGTTAATGTTTCAGAGGAGTATTTTCCATAACCATTTGTGAAATGATGGTTTCTGGTGTTTCTAAGTCAAATACAAAGTTCCTAGGGATTAAACTTCTTAGGGAGAACAAATTGTTGTACTCTAAAGTCATGTGAAAATACCTCATTATTTTCATTCCTATCTTTGGGAACTGCCTAGGTTCAGGAAGTTCTCCAGAGTTTCTGAAAAAGGGCTCTGAAGCAACCAATCTATGTGGTGCCTCCGTTCTGTTGTCTTAAACCTTCTCTTGCTAAACTTGTGCTTCCCATGGATTGTGTCTCATGTGTTTCTAATTTCCTAATATAATTTAGTAGACAAATAGGATTGATTTCACAGAAAAAAATATTATTTTGATAGCCCACCTTTATCAGAACATCTAGGTTTTGTAAGTCACATTTGTTTTAGGGGATGGAAGACTGGAGATTGATTCCTTAGGAACTTCTTCCTTGGTAGACGAGAATTTTAAAGCTTAGGCCGGGTGTGTTGGCTCATGCCTGTAATCCCAGCACTTTGGGAGGCTGAGGCAGGCGGATCACCTGAGGTCAGGAGTTTGAGACCAGCCTGGCCAACATGGCAAAACCCTGTCTCTACCAAAAATACAAAAATTAGTGGAGCGTGGTAACGCACACCTGTAGTCCCAGCTACTCAGAGGCTGAGGCATAAGAATCACTTGAGACAGGGAGGCAGAGGTTGCAGAGGAGCCAGATTGCACCACTGTCTCAAAAAAAAAAAATTTTTAAAGCTTAGAACAACTGAAATTATTTCTCTGAGTATATTACATTTGGACCAGTGTTTGAAAGACTTTGCTCATGGAGTTGAATGAGGATTTGCTTAATGGTAGGTAGAGGGAGAAAGTGTAAAAACTAGAAAAGTGTCAGGTGAGTGTCACGGAGCATAGTGGGAGAGAAGTGGGTTACTTAGGTGTTTCAGAGCTGTCTAGGCCCCATGTTACTCATCCTAAGTGCCTTTGGGGTGCATTCAGGTAGACCCGCAGAAACACACATTTATACTCGCATGATGGGTCTGCAGTGATAACTTAGTAAATGAATAATTACTAGCCTTTTTTTTTTTTTTTTTTTAGTAGAGACGGGGTTTCACCATGTTAGCCAGGATGGTCTCGATCTCCTGACCTCGTGATCCGCCTGTCTCAGCCTCCCAAAGTGCTGGGATTACAGGCTTGAGCCACCGCGCCCAGCCAATTACTAGCCTTAATGTATTTCTTGGCTGTAGTCAGTTCTCCGGAAAGATTGATAAGCCAAACGTGGGTTTCCTTTATAGCAACAATGATTTGACATTAGAGCTGTATGTTCCTTTTTTGTTGGATTAGAGAATCATTAAGATTTTTCTCATTTTAATCTTATAAAATACTAAGTTTATTAAGGTCGAATTTTATTACTGCAATTTTTTTTTTTTTGAGACGGAGTCTTGCTCTGTCCCCCAGGCTGGAGTGCAGTGGTGCAATCTCAGCTCACTGCAAGCTCCGCCTCCCGAGTTTACACCATTCTCCTGCCTCAGCCTCCCGAGTAGCTGTGACTACAGGTGCCCGCCACCTCGCCCGGCTAGTTTTTTGTATTTTTTAGTAGAGATGGGGTTTCACCGTGTTAGCCAGGATGATTTCGATCTCCTGACCTCGTGATCCACTCGTCTCGGCCTCTGAAAGTGCTGGGATTACAGTCTTGAGCCACCGCACCCGGCCTTGTTGGGTCTTTTAATTTTAGCTGTTCTGGTGGCTGTTAGCTGGTAGGTGGCTCAGTATGGTCTGAATTTGCTGCTCCCTGATGGCCAGGAACATGCAGAGGTAAAGCATCTCTTCCTGTGTTCACTGACCATCTGGATGTCTTGTGAGATGGTTATCTTTTGCCCATCGGTTGGTTGGGTTGTCTATTTTGTTTCTTACTGATTTGAAGGAGTTTTCTCTGTATTCTGAGTACATATGTGCATGACAGATTGTTTTTAGACTCTCGTGTTTACCTGTTCACTTTCTCAGTGGTATCTTTTGATACACAGAAGTTTTAAATTTTTAATGTAGCCCAGTTGATCAATCTTTTCAGTAATGTTTAATGCTCTTTGTGTCCTGCTTAAGAAATTTGCTAGGTCAAGTTCATGAAGATACTCTACATTGTCTTCTGAAAACTGTATTTTTAAATCTTCTGTCTGAAATTGACTTTGTTTATGGTATGTGATGGGGCCAAGAGTCTCTCTTTTTTTTTTTTAATAGATATCTAGTTGACCCTGCATAATTTCTTAAAAAGACCATTCTTTCCGCAGTGTACTACATGCAGTGTCATCTATGTCATCTCAGTCCAGTGACTGTAAGTGTGTGGGTCTGTTTCTGGACTCTCTTCTGCTCCTTTGATCTTTTTGTCATCTTTGCATAAATAGCACAATGTCTAAATTACCGTAGATACAGTCTGTCTTGAGATCTGGTAATTTAAGAAAAAGGTTCTCACTCGGTTGCCCAGACTAGTGTCAAACTCCTGGTCTCCAGCAATCCTCTCTCCTTGGTCTCCCAAAGTGCTGGGATTTCCATTGTGAGCCACCACACCTGGCCCTGTAGATGTTCTTTATCCAGATGTAAAAATTCTTCTCTTCTTAGTTTGCCAAGAGTTTTTTAAATACCGTGAGCAGATGTTACATTTCTTAACATGGATTTTCTGCATCTTTTGAGACAGTCATGTGATTTTTCTGTTATGTGGGAATTTAACTGTTTTTATTTGTTTGTTTATTTTTGAGGTGGGGTCTTGCTCCATTACCCAGCCCGGAGTGCAGTGGCGCCATCATAGCTCTCTGTAGCCTTGAACTCCTGGGCTGAAGTGATCTTCCCACTCAGCCTCTCAGGTAGTTGGAATTATAGATGCACGTCACTGCGCCTTGCTTTTTTTTTTTTTTTAATTGCTTATTGTTTGTAGCCTGGGGAAACAACCTCAGGAACTCCTGAGAAAGAGCACCTCCCTTTTAAAAAAGATTTACACTTGCAGAATAATTCCAAGCTGATCTTGATGTATTCTCCTTTTACTGGATTGTATTTGGTAATATTTTGTTTAGGATTGTTGCATTTATATTCACGAGAAAGATTGACTTGTAATTTCACTTTCCTTCAATGCCCTTATTGGGATTTGGTATTGAGGTTATGCTGGTTTCATAAAACAAGGTGGAATATATTCCTTCTTTTTCTACTCCCTAGAAGAGTTCCTTCGAAATTTGTGTTATCTTCCTTAAATGTTTGAAAACATTCTTTGGCAAAACCAGCTCCTGTAGTATTTTTAGAATTAATTTTATAGGTAGATGTAGGATTTTGAATATTTCTTCATGTGTCTATTTAGATAAAGCATTTTTCCCTGCTAGGGATTTGTTCAGGCCACCCAGACTTTCCAATTTGTAAGTTTAAAGTGGTTTACAGTCCTTATTATCTGCAAGATCTGTAGTGATGTCCCCTTTTAATAATTTTTGATATTGGTAATTCGTATATTGTCTCTTAATCAGTCTTGAGGGTTTGTCAGTTTTGTAAGTTCTTTCAAGGGACCAACTGTTAGCTTTACTTTTTTTCTACTTACATTTGTTTCTATTGCATTAATTTCTACTTTTTTTTAAGCTTTGTTTTTTGTTTGAGATTTTATATATATATATATGTATATGTATATGTCTTTTTTTTTTTTGAGGCAGAGTCTTCATTCGGTGTCTCCCAGGCTGGGAGTGCAGTGGCATGATTCTCAGCTTGGCTGCCAACCTCTGCCTCCAGGGTTCAGCAATTCTCCTGGCCTCAGCCCCTCCCGGTAGGCTGAGATTACAGGCCCGCACCACGCCCAGCCTAATTTTTGTTTTTTCATTAGGAGATGGGGTTTTGCGCCATGTTGGGCCAGGCTGGTCTCGACTTCCTGGGCCGCAAGTGATCCACCGCTTTGGCCTCCCAAAGTGTGGGATTACAGATGTAAGCCATTGCACCTGGCTTTTCTAGTTTCTTGAATAGATACTGTGTTTTACTTTTTTTCTTTCTAATATATGTTTTTAAGCCTATACATTTCTCTCTAAACACACTTTTAGATGCATGTCACAAGTTTTTTTTTTTTTTGAGACGGGTCTCACTCTGTCGCGCCAGGCTGGAGTGCAGTAGCTGGATCTCAGCTCACTGCAAGCTCGCCCTCCCGGGTTTACGCCATTTCTCCTGCCTCAGGCCTCCCGAGTAGCTGGGACTACAGGCGCCTGGCCACCTCGGCGCGCTAGCTTTTTTGTATTTTTTTTTGTAGAGACGGGTTTTCACCGGGTTAGCCAGGATGGTCTCGATCTCCTGACCTCGTGATCCACCCGTCTCGGCCTCCCAAAGTGCTGGGATTACAGGCTTGAGCCACCGCGCCCGGCCTACAAGTTTTGATATGTCAAATTTTCATTATCTTTTATGTAAAAATAATGTTGTAATTTTCACTGCGGTGTTGTTTGTTGTTCATACAATTTTTAGAAGTGTATTTCTCAACTTCACTGTTTGTGGGGATTTTCTAGATACCTTTTTGTCGATTTCTAGCTTAATTATTTTAAGATCCCTAAATATATTCTGCATTATTTAAATCCTTTGAAATGTGTTGAACTTTCCTAATAGCCCAGCATATACTCAGTTTTGTTAAATGTTTCCCAGGCACTTGAAAGTAATATATATTGATAGGAATGTAGTGTTCTATGTACATCAGTTATATCAATTGTTTGAGTCATGTAATTCAAATTCTAGTAGCCACATGCACAGATACAGTATACATTTTCAATTTAAGCCTGATTTATTACTTTTACTGCTTCCCAGACACTGCTGTTTCCTTAGATACTTGAGCTGGATTTAACTCCCTCCTACCTTTTGTGTCATTGTTTTATATATTTCAGTTTAATTTAATTTATATTTATTTTTAAAAATAGAGACAGCGT